CGGCTCTTTGGAGAGACGGACGCGGGCGCGCTGGGGGGCGCGGAGGACTCTCTGCTGGCGTCTCCAGCCCGGGCCAGAACAGCTGCGGGGCGGACTGCGGAGAGCCCGGGAGGCTGGGACTCAGACTCGGCACTCAGCGAGGAGAACGACGGCCGGCGGCGCTGCGCGGACCCGCCCGGGGCCAGCGGGGCCGGCCGCGCGGGGGGAACCCTGGGCCTCGGCCAGCCTGTCTGCGAGCTGCCCGCCTCCAAGGACCTGGAGGAGGAAGCGGCGGGCCAGAGCGACAGCGAGATGTCGGCCAGCGTCTCAGGTCTGCTGTGGCTTCTCCCGACGGGGGCCGGGTTGAAGGGATGGATAAGGAGGGCAACCACGCGGAGCAGGGTGGGCCTGGTACGGGCACCCTGCACCCAGGGGCTCCGGGGCTAGCCAAGTCCAAAGTTCTGCGTGCTGTAGCCGGCTGTTCTAACCCAACGGGAAGTGAGCCTGCGAAAGGGCCGGGAAACTCCTCAGAGCCCTGAGTCCTGAGCCAATGTGCCGTAGACCGGGTTGGGAGAGAACCGCTGCACCCTGCGCGCGGGGAGTTTGAGTTCATTTCCAGTGCCTTCGTCTGTACCTGTCCCTAAATCCCCCAAATCAGCGAAGGGGAAGAGCTAGAGGGGCAGAGACTTCAAGTAGCCTGTGCTGGGGACCGGCCCCACAGTTCAGGGACTGGTAAGGAAGGATGCCTCCAAGTGCGCCACAGCCAGGGCTATGGGAAAAGGGCTGGTTTGGCTTTCCCAGACGCCAGGGCTGGGAGAGCAGAGCTGGGCTGAGGATTCGGGAGCTGGAAGCAAACCCAGCAGTCAGCTGAAGGCAGGGGCGGATGATTTAGATCATCCCGGATGCAGCCAGGAGAGAAGCGGGCACGTCGCATGGTCGGAAAGACCCCCGTACCCGCCCGGGTTGGGTGCGCGCTGCTGTAGGCCTCACGCTGGCCCAAAGCAGGCCAGAGCTGTGGATCTCTCTACAGGGGTGCTTCGGGGACAGCGGGGAAGAGGCCAACGAGCTGGTGTCAGATCAGGGACACCCTGTAGGACACCACTCCTCTCTTTAACCTCCTGCCTTCAAGTCCCAACCTTCTCATTTTCTTGTGAAGAGAGGGAGAGAAGCTCACCCAAGGCCTTGGCGCAGACAGTTTCTATACCCTTTGCAGCAATCCCAGGCGGCTGGAGGCGGAAGACTCCAAATACCTCTTGGCCCTAGGATCCCTCCCTCCACCTTCCTGTTACCTGCACCCGACGCGCGCGTGTGTGTGCGCGTGAGTGGAGAGAGGCGGGTGGACCCGAGCAGGAAGACGGAAACGCAGCCCAGAACCCAAAGGCTCCAGGCCGAGAGCCGAGAGGGCTAGCGGGGTTGCTCAGGCCCAGTGACTCACGTTACCGAGAGGATCCTGGGGCCCAGAGAGGGTGGAGAGCTAGTTGTTATGGGCGCACAGCGTTGACACGGCGGCCGAGTCCGTCTCCCGCATCGGAAGAGGCCTGGGTGCGGGAAGCTAGTAGGTCAGGGTTCTAAGACTGTTCTGTAGGGCGCGCGGCCTCCTGGACCTCACCACCGCTTTGTCACCATCAGAGCGTATTTCTGTCCTACCTCTCCCCACCCCCTGTGACCCTGCTGAGGCCCAGCCTCACCTCCTCTGCGGTGCTCAACGTCTCTTGTTTCTGTTCCCACCGGTGTCCGCAGGCGACCGCAGCCCGAGGGCCGAGGATGACAGTGTTGGCCCCGGAGGCGCACGCGTGCCGGCGCTGTGCAGCGGCGCGGGCGGCGGGGGCAGCGGCGGACCGACCTGCGGCGCCGAGGAGGAGGAGGAGCCGGCGGCGCCCAAGCCCCGCAAGAAGCGCTCGCGGGCCGCCTTCTCCCACGCTCAGGTCTTCGAGCTGGAGCGCCGTTTCAACCACCAGCGCTACCTGTCGGGGCCCGAGCGTGCCGACCTGGCCGCGTCGCTGAAGCTCACCGAGACGCAGGTGAAGATCTGGTTCCAGAACCGTCGCTACAAGACCAAGCGCCGGCAGATGGCCGCCGACCTGCTGGCCTCAGCGCCCGCTGCCAAGAAGGTGGCGGTGAAGGTGCTGGTGCGCGACGACCAGAGACAGTACCTGCCCGGCGAGGCTCAGCGCCCGCTGCCAAGAAGGTGGCGGTGAAGGTGCTGGTGCGCGACGACCAGAGACAGTACCTGCCCGGCGAGGTGCTGCGGCCCCCGTCGCTCCTGCCACTGCAGCCCTCCTACTATTACCCCTACTACTGCCTCCCGGGCTGGGCGCTCTCCACGTGTGCGGCCGCCGCGGGCACCCAGTGAGCCGACGTGGGGTGAGGCCGCTATGATCCCCGCTCCCCAGCTCAGGACGGCTGTGCAGGTTGTACTCCGCACAGGGGCGCCCCGCCGCGGGGGCACGTGAAGGATGACATCCAGCTCTGGCCCGGCTGGCCAGGACTTGTGCCCTGGCAGCCGGACTGAGTCTGCCCGGAGGGGGGCGCCCTTTTCTAATTTGAACAGAGGCACCCTCTGGCCTAAGGGCCCTGCTCGGCCCTCGCCTGCCTGGAAGCCCCTGGTCACTATTTATTACCACGAAAATGTTGGGATTTGGATTTTTATTACGTCTGCCTGGGGATGGCGTTTCCCCAGAGCGGGAACTCCTGGAGACCACGTCGCCTGAGTCCCCAGCATTTCAGGCCTACCGGGAGCTTCGTGCGCTAGGCCACACTAGTTCATGGTATCCATGCTACCAATATATGTGTATCTACATATCTTTTATTGGGGGAAATTGCATTTGTAACAGAGGGTGCGGAACCCTGGCAGCCCCAGTCAGCCCTGGGCCAGGGATTGATTTCAAGCATGAACGGTTTGGTCGGGGGACCCTCCGCTCCACCCCTCCCGAGTGTCAGAATTCGGGTGGTGGCGCCCGATTGGGTGCTGAATGTCAGGAAAGGAGCCCCCGAGGGTGCGGCAGGCCAGGGGTCCCTACAGCTTCCCTCTCAGAAGTCCGGGGCCGCGTCCAAATGGGGAGCGCCTGGGAGCCCCCCGGGAGGAGAGAGCACACCCGGGCAGCCCTTCGCAGAAACGTTCCTTCATTTCTTTTTATTTTGTAAAGGAGGAAAAGACTTGTAGCACTTTTCAGTTGTTTGTATTCAAATGACGGTTATTTTTGTATTCAATGTGAATATCCCCGGCCAGCCTTTTCTGCGTCCCCGCAGTGCCGGCGCCTGGCCCTCTGTCGCTGCCTTACACGGACTCCTGCGCCCTGGCCTGGGACGTCCCCATCTGCCCTAAGACAGGTGGTCCTGCCTGTCGTGTCAACCTTGCCGCTTTTTGCCTCCTTAAGGGCACTGTGCACTCAACTAGAGAATTAACTGTAAAAAGATTTGTGAAGTTCGGAAGCTCTATTCGCTGTATTTTTTTTTTTTTTCTAATTTATAAACTTTTAGTTTAAGTTGCCCTCCTGGAGGCCGTGTTTTTTCTGAAACTCTCTCCGTCCGGCTTTAAGGGAACCGGGAAAGCGGGCGGGAAAGAGCTGGGCTCGCTTTCCAACTCTTTTCAGGGTCGGGTGCAGGACGCCTGCCCCTCCCGGGAGCTGCCCTGCCGCCCACCCCGCAGGAAGGGCTTGAACCCGCGAAGCTCGGGGAATGGCGACGCCGGGGACTGAGCAGGCGTCACGGGTGAATCCCACTGAACCCGGGAGCCGGTTTCTAGGATCCCTTTTGATCTCGCGGGCGTTGGTTGCAGAGTCTGGGAAGGGCCCACAGTTGCACCCGCAGCCCATTTCCATCCCCACCGTCACCTGCTGACACGTCTCCCTTTGCATCTCTCTCTGCTTTCCATTTTCGGGACGTTTCTGTAAGCGATCCGTTCTTTATTTCGTTCCAAAAATTACCTTAGTAAAAACTCTCGCTAAACCTCTGAAGCGATTAGGGAGGAGTCCCGCTGGGAGGGTCACCTGCGCGTTCACCACTGCCCGGTGCGAGTGGCGCTCTGCGGTGTCTCAAAGCGCTTCCACTCCCTCGATGACACGGAGTAGTCCACCGCACCGAAGGCCACCAGGGGAACAGAGGACAGGCAGGGCGAGGGTTATGCATTACCCCACATTACAGATGCATGTGCTCAGCGGTGGCTCCAAGACTCCCCGGAATACCGCAGGGTCACCGGAGCGAAATGCTCCCCTCCACACGCCCCTGACGCCAGGTCCCCGGGCGGGCGAGGACGAGTTAATGCCACACCGCAGACTTCGAGGCCTCCAGGCCGCTGGCCCCAGTCGGGACACACCGAAAGCCAGGCCAGGGCTTCTTTCAATGTCACCTGGAGTGGAAAGGCCCATTTGCGTTGCCTCCACCCCAAGGCGGGATCTTTCCTGGCCTCAGGGCCTCCAGGCCTTGTCACCCCAATGGCCCTGGTCGGGAGTCCCGCAACCCCTGGGACCGGCCGGGGCGGAGCGTGTAGACCAGCGCTTTGCAAAAACGATTCCCGCTTCTGGAAACAGCGAAATGAGAAGGGAAAGGGCAAGGCCCTGGGGGAGTGCACAGCCCGCCCCGCCCCCGGCCCCGTCCAGCCACCTTCCATGTGGTTTTTGCAATCATTTTGTTTCTTTTTGAAGTGTTTTAAAATTCCATTTAAATTTTACAATTAATCATGGATGCATTTTCCTTGTAGAAAGTTGGAATATTTCTGATAATGCTGGAATCTCCTTCTTTCCTCTCCCCAGAGATTGCTGCTTATTGGGGGTTTGGGGTGGGGGGTTCCACTATTTTCTCTTTTCTGAAAATGGTAGTTGTTTGTGGCTGCGCTCGAAGAGGGTGGATTGTTCTCGATCTTCGCGGATGTGGAGGCGAGCAAACCGGGAAGGTTCTTCCTGGAGCTGGGAGGAGGAAACTGACGAAGGTTCAGGGTTGCACCCGAGGAAGCGTCCTCGACCGCGGCGAGCCCCTTTGGTGGTGCTTCTTCCTCCGTCTCCGGCTCCCCGCTCCCCGACGGGGCCGGCTCTGCGGGGCCAGATCTAGCCGCCGGGGAGAAGCACTCGAATGAATTCAGTTTGATTCCCTCCGAGCCGCCGCGCTGCTTGCGTTGGCGCGAATGTCCTGAGGTCTGATTGCGGCTCCAGTCCGGCCTCCGAGGATTTCCCACCGCATTTCACCACCCAAGTCGGGTGTCTTTACCTGGATCTCCGGCCTCAGGCGCGGGTATTGTTGGAAATACTCAGTATTGCTTTTCCTTTCTTTTCTCCACCCTTAGCTACCCCAACGTTTTGTTTTTTTTTTTTTTTTTTTTTTTTTTTTTTTTTTTT